TATAAGGAACTTATAGTACTATTTCCAAGTTTTTGTTAATTTTGTTTGTTTTGATGATCTACGAGAAAGAGTTTTTTGTAGAAGATTGAATTTAATTGATTATTTAAATAAACTATTTAAGTTTATAAATATTTTATATTTTGCATCTTGTTTATTAATACTAATTTATCTAGTAAATACAAAAAACTTTAATATTCAAAACAATTATAACATATTATATTTTTTATTCATATTATTTAAGAATAAAATGTATATAGATCATTTTTATATAGTTTTGTATGTCTCTTTAAAATTTTTATTTAAAATTGATATATGTTATTAATAATTCTTTTTTATTTTTTAATTAATTAAGAAAAAATTTTATAATATTATAAATAAAATTATTTATCTATTATAGTAAAATTTTTAAAAAATATACTTGTATATATGATAAAGTTTTCTTAGTTTGGTTAAAATTTTCTTAAGTAATACAAAATTAAAAAATTTGATTGGTTAATTTATATAAACATATATGTTAATTTTATTATATAATTTTATATTCTAATGTTTAAAAATTGATATCTTAATGAGTTTTTACTCAATTTTAATAATTTTACTATTATTAGAATAAGAAAAACCTACTCTACAATATTTACTTAATAATACAAATTAGTTTACTTAATATAGTTTTTTATAAATTTAAATATAAAAAGAATTACCATTAAGTTTATATATAGTTTTAAAATAGTACACTCTATTTTTAATTATGTATAAAGAAAATCCTTTTTAATAAATGCATTAAAATTCATAAAATCATAAGTTTGTTAGCAGATTTGTGAATAGTACTTTTAGTTTTTTCGTGTAAAAGAATTAATTGCAGCTTAAAACTATTTTAATGATATTGTATAATTATTTTAATCAGGCTACCTTTTTTTCTGGGCAACGCTATGTAAGTTTTGTAGCTTAGTCGTCTAGTATAGCTCGGAGATCGTACAGGCCCTTATTCGTAATAAAATTCGATTTTGAGCCGCTATATGTAAGAATTTTCATTTGGGGTCCTCATCCGTAATTATTTTCATTTTTGGGCCTTTATGTGTAAATTCCCTTAAATAAAAAACATTAGATTAATAGTGATCTACTTACTATAAAATAGATTTATTGATTTTCTGCATCATTTTCATAATGTGCCCGCCTTTCGAAGATGCATTTTGCCGAAAGTTCTCCTTACGACGCACCTAGTAAACCACTTTATATAAAAAATTTGGGAACTCAGAGAGAATGTGTCGAAAGTAAGTAAAATAATTACCCACTTTCAAAGGTGTAGTATTTTATGAGACGGTTTATTTTGTATGATCCCAATACCATTAGATTCGTAAAAGCTTCATGAATATTTTTGTCTAAAGGAACACTATGTATTCAACCGAAGTTTTAGAAATTTTAAAATTGTAACTTTGTAGATTTGTGTAACGTTTGAAATCATATGATAAAACTTTAGATGTGACAAATCGGGTATCTTATCTGTTAGCAATTCACAAGTTTGATTGGTCGTTTTTATTGTCAAATCTTCAAATCCTAATGCTAGTAAGGCCATACAAAGAAAATTAATTTTGTATGACCTAATTAATTTTTATTAATATATGTATATGGTCCCTTTTAATTTTTAATGGTCTCCGTTATGCCAAAGGTATCGAAATAATATTGGGTGAGCAATTTTGAACATATAAATGGTTTAATTTGTTGCTGCAAGCAATGGCGATAATATGAAGTATCAGTATGTATCGGTATACAAATAATTTTTGATGTGCAGCAAATCATTTCCGTGTTTATTCATATGGGATCATTTACATAATATACATACATACATTATAACATACATACATATCTTAACATATAACATAATATACATACATATCTTAACATTATAACATACATACATATCTTAAACATATAATATACATACATATCTTAACCTTATATCCTAATATATTGCTTAGTTGTTATCGTTATTGTATTAATCCTTATATCTAATATAATATAACTTAAAGTGTATACTTTGTACAGCTTTCTTTTCAACATATGTATTGTAACGTGCCTATCATAATCCTGATTTTCTTAATTTCTTGAATAATCATATGCAAAGCGGGAGTTAATGCGATCAGTGAAGATCCTGTTACGGATCCAATCTTTAAGCGGCGTGCGCTTATGATGTTTCAGTAGTCGATAGATCGTGGCATCGTGCTGAAAAGAAATCTCGATGCCCAACTTATGAAAGAAAATACTACACCCAGGATAAAGTATTCTGGGCAAGGGTCGAGCAGAAACTATTCCGGATAAACGTAATTGGTTTGTTGTCTCAAATTCTGAGATGTCCGCGGGCATGCTATTATCCAATTGCATTCCTGAACAGTCAAAAAGATGGTGAGGAAAAAACAATAAGTTTCTGAAGATAAAAAAGGTAGAGAATTACCGTTATTTGCAACTTGATAGACATGACCAAGAAAAGTGTGAGCAACGAAATCGCCAACCACATAATTTCTATTGGGTAGGACCTTGTCTGACGCGATCGATTCGGCAACCAGTTGTGCCAAATCTTCTTTGACCGTAACGTTCAGAAAAATAAATTGCTTTGGACTGTTGAACGCCGTTGTGATGGTTGAAATGTCGTGCTTAAGCACTTCTTCGTCAAAGATGCCCACTTGAAATAATATCCATCGCATTGATCCATGATGCTTGTCTATCTTTGCTTGGTGGTCGATCAAACGTTTGTGCAATCGAGTTCTCGGACATCGTTTATCCGAGACAAAGGGCTCGCTACAAAACATACATTTATTAATCGTGATCTATGACACTGCAAATACACAAGACGTACGCAAGATGCCGTATAACCTACAGTTCCATCCCCGAGTCCCAAGTAATGTATAAGGAAACATTTTGATTAACGCACGCATTGAGAAGCATCTCTTGCTTTTCAAAATTATTATACAACATACTGATAACTACATCCGCACCTGTGAAAAAAAAAAAATCAAAAAAAAAAATGATAGAAGAAAATGTGTTAAAAACTTTTTATATATGATCATTGATTGTTGCTAAATAATGAAAGAACATACTAGAAACACTCCATTCGAATTGTGCCCGTGTCTCCCAACAACCTGGGATTCTGATCGCATCAATAATATTTGCATACTTAGAAAAGAACTAAAATTAATACGTGAGCATACATAAATTAAATAAATAAATAAATTAATTAATCAATCAATCATACTTGTGTTTGGTGTGCGGGGTAACATAATCGAACATTTCGGGCACCTTTTTTTCGTAATAAGGTAACAAGATATTTTGTAAGACGTAAATCATCATTACAGAAAATAAATATTTCTATTTCGCTGATGTTTACGTCGGCCGTCGTCTTCAAAGGCAACCTTGTGACATATCTCTCTGGACTTTCCGGAGACCAGTTGTCCTGAGAGCAAAATGTGTTCTGAATTCTAGGTGTCATGCGGTCACCCAAATTAATTAATGACGATGGGACCTTTAAGCAGCGTATAAGTAAATTTTTTTTTTTTAAAAAAAAAAAAAAGCAAAAAAAAAAGCTATATAGTATAAATTTGACACTTAGGGGATATCTTATGTAAGGATTTATGGATTTTACCCAACAACACCTTAATTCTATATGTTTTGTAATATTTTATTTGACGGCCCGTTTTTCTCCTCTATAAACGGCGTCTATTTTCAAAATCGTCAAATCGAGCAACTAACCATGAAAGGAATTCTGACCTCTTTAAATAGTTTAACAGTCAATCATCGCTTGTTTTTCACAGCAAAGTTGATTGTAAAAATAAAAAAATAATAATATAGGTATATACATGTATACATTATATTCGATGTTTTAATTATCCCCTTACCTAGCCGTTACCCCCAAACAGAAGTTCCTTGACTTACGCGCACAGACAAACAACATGCAGAAAGAGCATTAATCAACCAGACAGTCACGAGGTTTAAATTTCGTCATCGGCGATGTTTACATAAGCTGGCGGATGAACCCTGCATAATGTCAAACCACTAAATACACGAACATAACTAATTTAAAGTTCGATTTTTCCCGAAATTGTTGTGCCGACTATCAAGAACACCTTGGCAGTTAATTGGTTATGGAAGGATACAGGATCAAACTAGGACATGCTTATTTGTTATGATTGTGGGCGTAACTCTTAAAGTATAATGGGACTTATTAATAAGTGTCTTTTTATAATTTATTCGTCTTGTGTCTTTCATATTATAAACATTCTTAATAATCCTGCATGTTATTTATTTACCCATCCCGCTGTCGCACAGGTTTGTTTGTTATTCTTGACATTTTTGTGACAAATCATATAAGCTTACTCCAGCATGAATAAAATCCTATTTCTCATCTAATTGGCATTTATTTTTTTTCATAATGATGCATTAAGTCTCCTTTCACCAAAGGCTAACAATTGTATGCTATTTTTTCGGTCGCTAGGATATATAATGCGCTACTATTCCCGGAATAGCAAAATTTATAGTTCTTTGTTATTTATCTATGGTGTGAGAAAAAAAATAAATAAATAAGACAAATGCAAACAGACCTGCGAGCTCTAATTGATTCTATGAACTATAAAAAAACGCCAAATGTTGGCAAGCAATGCTATTGGTTCAAATTTTATATTTAATGTACGGTTCCCAACATTTGGACCCTGAAATTTGGATATACGTAACAATAAGTCAAAATTGGAAATTAATTGATGAATTCGAAAGTCGGCAATTGTGACTTGGGACCAATCCAAACTTCCAATTTTAAGAACTTTATATATATATATACACTATATATATATATATATTATATATATTATAAATATATATATATATATATATTATATATATTATATATATTATATATATATATATATATATATATTATGTAATATATTTATATGTTTTGAAATAAGGAATTTATAAGCTAAATGTACATACAGTTTTTGTAATATAACCCAATATATTATTATTTTTTTTTTTGGCTACCAAAGACCGGTCTTAAAAAACCAGTCTGGATAATAAGAAAAAATCTTACATGATATTAGTATTTTTATGGTAATAAATATTGGACCCAGGAGAAAAAAAAAAATTTATGGGGCATATTTCTTCTCGTTACTCAGAAAACTTGGTAATCATGCTGAGACAGTAATACATGCAGACACAAATTCAGAGTACGATCATCCTGTGAGGCGGCGAGGCGGCGTTGTTCATATGCATCTGATAACAAAGTATGAGGGCTGCGCAAATCGATGTTATACATTGGATAGAACACTACTGCATCTTATTATTATTATTAAATTCTTAGGAAAATAGGAATACACTACTCTGCAAAATATTCGGTCTCTAGTCAATCATATACTGCAATTGTAGTCATGGATGCCCGATAATATATTACAAATTAAATAGCATTTATTGACATCATCTAATAAATTATATGAATTTACTACCAGAGTACATTTACCATTGTTATTCTTTTAAGCATGTATGATAACTTCCATCAAATGTTGTCGCCATTATCGTCATTATTTGTTGCATGTTCTTATCGATTATACTTCAGTAGATTGTTTGAATAAGATTGATTATTGCCTCCGTTCTTTATTATTCACGAATCAAAAAGATGACCTTAAAGAATAATTTAATGAAATATATTTAGCGCCTCGCTTTCTATTTGTTCTAAAAACCTACGCCTTCCCGTCAGGGATCATATTTCATTTCATGAGAATTGCATGTTGAGGATGTCTTAGTCTTATTAGGAAATATCTTGAGTCTTACGACGAAGCCACTTCAATCTTACTCGACACTTTGAAGGTGAAAGTCCATCCGCTATGCAAATCTATGCAGATGCATGATAAACAATAGAGTTTGATGATCTTTGCTTACCTCTGTACTGGATTGTTATTTATAAACTTAAGTGTATTACCTTTTTTAATTCTATTTATAAATGTGTGGATTGGAAATCCATCTTTATTCATTAATAAACCATTCAGCTCGTGAGAATTCGTTGTCGTTGTCAGGTAATTAAAGAATGTTCGTTTTATTTTCTAACATTACATTCAATGCGTGGTTGATCTGTTGTGGGCAGTGTTGTTAATTTTACCTTAATTTTTAAAGGCTAAATTTTCTTATCAACATTGCATTATCTATTACGAAAAGATCTAGATTTATGGTCCAATGATTCTACAAACCAGATATTTTATACAATTATTTCTCCGAAAATTAGAATATTATTAAGTTGCAAGAGAGAGAAATTTTGCAAGATTGAGTCATCCTTTTATAAGAAATTGTGGGTGATCGTCATTTTCTTCCGTAATTCTATCGCTATGGTAGGAGATATCATTGTTCGCGCTTTAATAAGTATCCAAATTAGGAATTCGAATTTAAAAGTTCAATTGGCGCAAAATTTTGCATTGGCCTAGAGTCTCTAATCGAAAATATCGGTTTCATCCGAAACATCCAGATTAAAAAAATTTTAGCAAAATTTGGATATACTTCGAGTTTCAATTCCATGTACTAACTGAATGTTTAGTTTATAACAATTTTTATAATGATATCTTAAAGCATATTAAATATATAGCTTTATATATTTGATTATCTAATTTTTGAGTTGGTTTTAATATTTGTGATAAAATATTTTTTTTTAATTTTTATAATAATAAATAAAAGACAATTATAATCATAACTTAAATATATATTTAATATAACTCATAAAAAAATATTATATAATTAAATATTTAAGGCTAAAATATTATTGACTAAATGCAAATATGTTACGTATACGTATACGTACATATAACAAATATATACGTATTATAAATACAGTCTTTATACGTAAATAAAAACAAATATGCATTATATACATACGTATCAAAAATATGGGCTGCCGTCAATAGAAATCAAGCAAATTGACATTCTAATAAAATTTGACTTATTTTTAATATATATGATATTTGCATTTTATTTAATGTATGATTGTTATCGTTATTATAAAATTATTTTATGAAATTAAGTAGCGTATTTAGATAATTTGACCCGGTTTTAATTCAACTATTTAGGAGCACTAGTATCAACTCTTAAATGCACCATAAGGTTTTACCACAATATTTCGACATCCAAAATCTCGAAATATAATCCAGAAGTGACAATTAATATTTAAAGATTAGTAATCACATTAACAACCATTGTCAAACTTAAATTTTAAATTGTCATATTGCGTGATGTCAGTATTATAGCCTGTCAAAACTTTGGATGTTAGGATTTTGTGGTAGAATCAGGCAATAATATAGATTATTGATCAATTAAAATTGTTCAATATAATAATTTATTATGATTATATATACATTTAATTTTGAAGTTTAATAACTTAAAATCTTAATAAGTGTTTGGGTCCTGTAACTTAGCGATTAAGTTCCCAAACCTTTACAGACAAGTTTAATGGTTCAAAATAGGTTGAAGACAAAACTGGGTTTTGTTTTTGTAACTTATAAAACTAAAAATTAAATGTAAAATCTTGTAAAAGTTCAAATGCAAACAAATTTGAAATAGGAATTTTTAAAAAAAGATCTAATTATAGAATGTAGTGTTAGGTGTACTGATGATATTGCAGAAGATTTTAGTTATATAAGAATTACACATATAAGTTATTAAGAATAAGACAGCATTAATATCTTGTTTTTTTAGTTAGACAGTACCAATATCTTTACATTTAATTTATAAAATACTTGCTTGAAAAGGTAATATATTAATTGCATAAATAAGTTTTATTAAAATATAAAAAAAACAGAATTTGATTGAAAAAATAATCTAGAATAATTAAAAATTAAAATAATCAAAAAAATAATAAATACAAGAATAGTTTATAATAAAGAATTGATCTTACTAAATTAAAAAGCATTTTTGTTAAAATATAATAAAAATATTATAGATGGTATTATTTATATATATATAATTTTTTAAATTTGAATAATTTTTTTATAATTTTTTTTAATAAATAAAGTAAATTTTAAACAATTTTTTAATATATTCTTTATTATAATTTTATAAATATTTTATTAAGTAAAAATTTTTTTAATAAGGATGTAATAACCTAGTAAAGTGATCAGATTATCAATTCTTAAGTAGCAGATCTAGAGTTCAAATCTTAGTATTGATGAAAATTTGAAATTCTTTCTGTGTTATAGTTAACTGTCTTCTGCTATTAGTTAAGATCAAATATCTTTTTAATTATATTCTTTATATTTTTATTTAATAACTTAAGCTATTATCAATTTATGCATTATAAACAAAGTTCTAAATATTGTGCAAAATAACTTTGCAAAACTTGACTATCTTTTTAGAAAACATGCCAAGCTTAAATATTTAATTAAGGAACAACAAATACAGCTTGGAAAAGTTTTAAAAAAATTCGAAATTATTGGAATGATGTAAAAAAAAGCAAAAGAAAAAAAC